TATATATAATGAAGAATTATTATTTTTTTAGGGGGGGGGGTTATACCTGGCTTTTTTTGCCAGCATCTAAATCCTCCTGTAGGCAGCAGTATAAACAATTGTTTCTCAACAGAATCCTGTGTCCTTTAATAAACCCCATAATTTTTCAGGGTAGTGCATAGGCACAATTAACATTCTTAGATTTTTTTCTTTAACATAGCAAATCTTCACTTTTTGAATTAAGGTCTACTTAATATACAGTTGATACAGTAGCCTTTTAAAATGAGCAAACTCCTACTAATTGCCACAGTAAGCAAATCTTAGAACATATACCGTAGCACATGTTAAAGCCATTGCTGTTATAGCATACAAAGGCATATAGTAGCATTTCCCAAGCCAGTCTTTGGATGTTTTATGGATAGAATTGTTCTGCTCTCAGTGAGCTGTTGGACTGTGGGCCAGAGCAGACATTTTCAATGTGCATGTTGTTTTTGTTATTGTGTATTGCAATGCTATGGGTTAAAGTATATTTCCACTTTTGAAGTCTAATTTAAGAAAACCCCACTATATATTTGATTCATGTGTTTCTTTAGACAGCATACCTAAAAAATGTTTAAAAAAAAAACTACGGGGATAATTATTGTTAACCCTTGCAGTGGGGCTACCCCCACTAAATCATCACATCCAATAAACTGTTTTTTGGACGTGAAGACATACCATCGCTGCAGTAGAGGAGGAGACAGACTGAATGGAGCGCTGTCATAGCCAGCGGCTTTGAGGATCGGGTGAGTATATCTTTGTTATTTTTCTCCTTAGACCAAGACAAGCACTTAACCCTTTCAGTCTAGCCTCATTGCAAGGGATAATATTAACATTCCCTGGAGTTCTTCTTTAAATAAGATGTCTTACCTTGTAGATGTTTCTTTGGTGAAGGCCTTTGTGCAGATTCCAAGCTTCTCTGAGCAGCTTGAAAGCGAAAGTAGTCAAACTGAGCGACAAACTGAGCTTCTCATTATTAACCCTTTGTTAGTACAGAGTGTTCAAATCTAGTTTACAACTGATAATGAGATCTGCCAGCACAGTCTAGACAGGGTTAATTAGAGAAAACATAACTTCTCCAGCCCCCTCCTTAACATTACATAGAGGGAAAACTAGGTAGGATTTTTAAGCACTGTTCACACCTGAGCGTTTTGTCACAAGCTGTAAAAGGCTGAATGCTAGAAAAGGTGCATGAGCTTTTTTTTTCTGGCAGATTACAGGGCGTTTGGCCCAAAGACTTCAATGGCAATGCGTGACACAAGCATTTTGCACATTTCTGTGTGCGTTTTTGCACACATTTGTCCATTGACCACAATGTCTTTCAATCTGCCCGCTAAAATGTGCGTCTTCATGTGCACGTGTCTAATTTGCACAAAAATCTGCAAACCACTCTAGACAAAACGCGCGCTAATATGCGTAAACACGCTGACGGCTAGGTGTGAACAGAGCCTTAAACATATAAGCAGCAATTTGTATTTTTATGCAATGTGAACAAGAACATGTAACAAAGATAAAGCAGATTTTATTCCAATTTGGCTGCAGAAGTGGAAATACACTCTAAGGCATGGGTGCCCATTAGGTAGATCGTGATCTACCAGTAGATCTCAAAGCTGATGCTGGTAGATCACGAAGGGTGTGAATGGCGGCCCCTTTATTCCATTTTGGTATATTTATTTAGCTGTGCACATATGATTACCTATTAGCCTGAGTCTGCTGAGCCAACCTCCCTGACACCTTTCTGGTGGATTCTGGTGATTGAAGTGCTATGTATTACATCAAAGAATATTACTTTACACAGCCTGTTGCACTGCACTGTTTGCAAAATACAGCAAGGTGAGCCAGGAGAGAGAGCGGGGAGAGAAAGCCAGGAAAGAGAGCAAAAAGAGACAGCCAGTGGAGAGAGCAAGGAGAGACGGACAGGAAAGAGAGCGAAGAGAGACAGCCAGGAGAGAAAACGGGGAATGACAGCCAGGAGAGAAAACGAGGAATGACAGCCAGGAGAGAGAGGAGAGACAGCCAGGAGGATGAGCAAGGAGAGAGAGCGAGGGCGTTTTTTTTTTTTCGTTGGTAGATCTCATGTAGCTCGTCATTTGAAAAGTAGATCTTAACACAAAAAATTGTGGGCACCCCTGCTCTAAGGTGTTGATGCACTGGGTAAGCTGATAAATAATCCCTCCTCAGCCTTCTCTAACCTTCCCAGCTGCAGCTGCTTGCAGTTGGTGATGTCACAAGTACATGCATGTGCTCTGAGCTGTTTGGATGAGGGACTTGGTGCTATGAAGAGAAAATGCAGAGAGTTCCTGTGAAGATTGCTTTTAGCTAAGCCTTGTGTGGTTGCTGGCAATGCCCGGGGTGATTCTCTACATGAGCTCCTTAGAGTACAGCTGCTGGCAGTGCTCTATACTATTGGAATAATGGACACCCTACCCCAGAACAAGTAAGAGAGGGTGGAAAACACAGTATTCAACCAGTGAACATTATTGTTTGTGTGCAAAAAATATGGGTGCTGGCAAGCTGACATTCAGAATTCTTATTAGTTATCCAATGCACCATTATTCTGTATTTCCAATGAATTAATAATAACATTGTTTACTTTAACAAAGTGTTCCATAATTGAGATTGGCTATAATTCTAAGGGTAACCTGACACAATTTGAAAACACATCCCTTTAAAGTTTACGTAAACCTTAACAATTAACTTTTCTTATTTGCTCCCTTTTGGTCTGTTAAAGGAGAATTATGAGGCAAGTGATTTTCAGAATTCAGAGAATTATGAGGCGACGTGTGACAATGAAACTGTCACACGTCGGCTCTATAGATCGGGAAGTAAGCGAACACATAACATCGCTCGCTCACTTCTCGATCCTGTGCCTGCAGAGAGCCGTGACTGTCACTCACGGCTCCCTGCAGGGATTCCCCTGTCCGATCCTCCAGCGCTAAGTGGAGGAACGAACGGGGGAGGGGGCGGGTACAGTTGGCTCTGCCTCTAGATATGCAGAGCCAGCTGTTAATCACGCAGCTGGGTGGATCTCAACAGTAATGTCGGGATACATCCCGACTGTGGCGATCTCAGTATACCGCGAGCTGTAGCTGAGAACTATGGGGAAAAACACTTACTTACCCCATAGTTCTCCTTTAATCCAAGTGTTTTGTTATATGTGCTCGATATATGCAAAAATATGTCTGTTAAATCTGTCAAAAATCTTAGCTGATATCTTTCTGTGCTGATTGTTATCAGTTACCTTTGTTTCCAGCTATCTTTTGTGGACTACAAAACACCTCTCACCTAGGTTATGGCTAAGAGGAGGTGGGAAGGGGGGGTTGTTCTGTAATCCTATTGCACTTCCTCTGTCTGGTGACAGCACTGTTCCTCCATTGATACAACGCAGGAAGTAAGCGTTGAACCTTGTAACCATGTTTCATGTCACCCCCATATTTAGGGTAAAACATGAAACATGGTCACATACCCCATACCATTCCGTTTGAATTTAGCACAGCTGTGCGCGGGCCCCACCTGCATGGCAGAGAGCACTTATAGAGAACAATAGAGCACTGGCAATTCCTTCTCTCTCACTGCCGTAGTTTAGCACCACTTCCTCCAGCCTATCCGCACCGCTGTACGGACATGAACCTGTGGAGAGAGTTTGCAGGAGCCAGGGCGTGATGCACTGATCGCCCTGGCAATGCTCTGCAGACCTTATTGCAAACATTCGATACATTTACATTCTTTTTTTTCTGCATGCTTTTATTACATTTCTACAGGGAATACAAGAGGTCATTGTCAAGCAGTATGCGTTTAATGTTTACTAGACATACTTCAACAAAACACTATAAAAGTTTCAGTGGCTTTTACATTTTTTTTTCCTTTTGAGCATCTAATGAAAGGCTTCTGACACGTGCAATTCTATGAAATAAGCCCATTTTTATAAGCATCGTGCTTATTTTATTTTTTTTGCACTAAAGAGAAACCTCTTTAACCTCTTAAATCCAGATTTAAATATTATTTTGGCAGTAAAGTCTAATGGTTTTGAAGAGATCTTAGAAAATGTAAGGGTAGCAATATATCTAGTCATTTGGTAGTATAAACTGTCTTTGTGTATGCTTAGCTTCGATACTGCAGGGTGATTTTCTTAACCAGTGATCGCTGTTGAGCTAATGAGGTTTATGGTGCTTAAATATACTAGAGGTTTGTCTGCTACTAATGATTCGAACATATAAAGAAAATTCCCACAAGCAGTTACTTCAAGTGAAAACAATAACGCCAAGATGATAAACAGATCAAGGTTGATAAAAGCTGTTCTACCAAACTTTCCCCGATCATTCTTATGTCCAGAAAGTCCCTGTGGGTTCTTTTAATGTCATAGGCAGCCTCCTTGACCAAAAGGAGAAGAGTGGGAGGTGGGTGGGTGAGGCCAAGGTCAGCTTTTTTAAAAAATAGTTTACATATTACCTTCCCGCAGCTGAAGTTACATGTATTTTTGGGCTAAACCATTTCCATTTTTTCGTGGAATCAAACTTTTTTGTACTAATGTAGCATCTTATTCTCTATATTGTATCTAAGATATTGTCATTGTTCCGTATTATGTATTTATATACATAAGTCAAATTGTTAAAGAATTCTATCAATTCAATAATATTTTAATCAAATTGTGTATATTGAAAACATGATATATTTCCCTTGTTGTTTTGATGTATTCTAGCTACATGTACCATTAGTAATGCCTAGCACATTGCCATTACTTGAAAGTTCTCTTACAACGAGGCCATCTGCCAGTATCAATACCACCAATTCACTGCCATCTGAAGCTTTGCCAGACACTGGTGGAGAAAATCCAGACACCGCCACATCAGCACCATTCTTAATACCTGCCAATACAAGCGCACATCCAACTCCAGCTCCTACAAGTACCAGTCCTACAACACCAGGTAAGTTTTAGTTTTTAACATTTCTGCATATATTGTACTTACACTTCATCAACATTTTTGCAATGCTTGTTTGATGGTGTTTTTAATTGACTTTCACTTTTCAGTGTGGATATTGTGAATTTCCAATTGCTTTTTCCTTTGTGTTCCCTGCTGTTCTCTTTATCACTATTCTCCTATATGTGTAGCCAAACTAGCTTTCCTTGCATGATAAGTGAATAAAATATTTTTTTGTATTTCTCACAAACTGCAAATTTACAGCCCCAAATTGCAATTGCATTGACCCAAATGTTAAAGGCTCAAACTAGCTTCTTTAGTATAGAGTGGGGAAAAGGTAGAATGTCTGTCTTGTCTGTTTGTTGTTGTCTACCAAGACATATCGCCTCACTTCCTGTCCCTGGAACCCCATCACCAATACTGAAAGTGAGGGAAAATATCCCCAGAGAGAAATAAAAAAACTGATATGTTTTAATCTTTTCCCACTCTGTCCAAAAAATAAAAATGGGCTTAGGCTTAAAGGTTAAGTGGACTTTAAAACAAAGTACACTTATCATTTTGGCCCCTTTATGATGACCTTACCTGTCCCTCCCTTCCCTTGCACAGATGCATACTTACCGACCTCCAATGAGCAAAGCCCCTGTTTTGTGTATATCCTGCAGCAGACGTTTTCTTGGTCGCTATGGGACTTGTCTTCCAAAAAGGAGACACAGGTAGATCAGCCCCATAGAAGTCAATGGGGGATGTAATGCAAAAGCACAGCCAGGCGAAGGAGACACCTACTGCAGGATGTAAACAAACAATGGAGGCCATGCCCCTCAGGACTGTGCGGGAGAAGGGAGGAATCGTTGATGTCATTTTAAAGGGGCCAAAAGGATAAGTGCACTTATCCTTCAAACATTCTATTATACGGTATATGTCATATCCGCTGCATGTCCCTCTTGTGCTTATTTACAAAATTTAGTGGAAACCCAAAAGATAGGAAGAATTTACAAACTCCATGAAGATAGTATTGTGGCTGCTGGTTTGTGAGTACCTGAGGTTTTGCATCCTACCCTCAGTGTTGTTGCATCGTCTTCACGCAGTCACAACAAGAATGCATGTAGTGGGGATGATCCCACTGCAAAGGGTGACCTCAGCAATACATTTACTCTGTACTTTCTTAGGACACTGAGATTTGTAATCTGGAATTTTGCTATGGTTAAAGATTCTACTTCATTAGTTCTAGGGATGCACCGATACCGATACTAGTATCGGTATCGGTGCCGATACCGAGTATTTGGGTGAGTACTCGTACTCGCCCAAATGCTCCGATACCTAGCACGAGTACTTCCTGTATCAGGAAGCCGGGCAGCGCATCATTACACGCTGCCCGGTTTCCTGATTGGCCAGGAAACGGCTCCATGCTCTCTCTTGGCCAGGAAGCTAGCAAATCCGGAAGCCGGGCGCCGTGTAATGACGCAGAACCCGCCATTTTGATTGGCTGGGAAGCCGGCGTCATGCTCCCTCGTCATCTCATGAATCATAATATTAGGAAAGTGACCTTAAAGCATTAGTTTGTATTGCTTTAGAAAAAATGTGACCTGTCCCTTTAACAAAAAGTATCGGTAATTGGTATCTGCGAGTACTTGATCAAAAGTATCGGTACTCGGTCTTAAAAAAAGTGGTATCGGTGCATCCCTAATTAGTTCCCTTAGCACGATCATGTGAGACAGTCTATTGCCTTGTCATCAGGGTGGCTCTACAGCAGTAGTGCCCAATAGGTCTATCGTGATCTACCAGTCGATCGCAAAGCGATCCCTGGTAGATCGCGACGTCCTGTCCTCCTGCCGTGGGACTTCTCTGGATCCCCGCTGCCCTCCCCCATCTCTATGCAGCGGAGATCCAAGAAGTGAACGATGCGCTGCAGGTAGGGACGGTGGGCGGAGGCGCTATCACAACAGCACGCCGAGCGGTGAGGAGAGAGCCGCCCGGCCTGGATCTGACAGCCGGCGGCTCCCTCTCTCTCCTCACCGCACATGCTGCTGTGACAGCGGATCAGGCCGAATGAATGAATGAGCAACGTCGTACACATTCGGCCACACCAGCACAGCGGGAGGACAGGACGCCGGCGCCTCTAGAGCGCACTGGAATGCAAGCCGGCCGACTCCCTGCATTCTGGGGCAGGAGGTGGCGTGAGGTTGTATTGAAGTCAATGGCACCACAGCCATGTCCCCCGTCCACAGTTTGCTGCCATTGACTTCAATGCACCGCCATCCTCCACCCCCCCCCGAATGCAGGTGTTTTTTCGTTGGTAGATCTCATTGAACTTGTCATTTGAAAAGTAGATCTCCGAACGAAAAATTGTGGGCGCCCCTGCTCTACAGCTTCCACTCAGAAGTTCCTTTGCGGGTGCTGACTGCAAGTGCCCTAAACACTCTCACACATTTTTCCCTGCAGAGTCAGTCTCTGATCTCTTAGACTTAGACCTCAGAGTTTAACTGACCGGCCTAAATCGCTATGTACAGATTAAGTGGAAGTTAATGTTAACACTCAATGTATAGGTTGTATTGACCAGATACTGCTGCATTGACCTTATGTGCAATGGGGCCTTGCAATCCTGGATTAAAGCTGGTTATGCACTGAATGATTTTCAGTCACTTTTTGATAAACGGGATAAAATTTGCTCAGTGAGTGGCCTTGTCTGCCGGCTCCTGCCCAACATCCTTTGATTGCAAAATGGAAAGAGTCAAAAAATTGTTGGCCGAACAGCTCCTTCATCCAATCAGATGCAGGCAATGTTCAGGTACTTTGGCAGCCAATGAAGCCGATTGTGAAAATCCAATAGCCGCAGCAGGAGATTCCTCCATCCACTCTTGTTTTTTCGGTCGGCCCAAAAGCTGAATTACAAATCTCTAACTGTGTACAGTATACCCATCTTTAGAGGTCTTTTATTGCCTGCATGAAGTCCAGATTAAAATCCACAGGTTTTTCTGAAACTTAGTTTAATGTTAACCCCGCCATGCAGATGTAACTCGCAACTCTACACCAATGGTTGTTGAGCATTGCAAAGTTTTTATTTCAGCATCTGTTGTGCCATGTGTACTAAAGTGGGCTTGTCTAGAAAAGCATGTTCAGCAGGTTCAAAGTAATTTATTCAGAGTCCTAGCACTACAGGAGGTTTGAAATATTATGTATCTAAAGGGCCTTCCTCTACAATGAGTTCAGTTGGATAGGGAAAGCCAGAGGCTCTAGCTTATTCCAGTCTTCCTGAAAAATAACCTGTTTTCCTATTTTCCTGGCCAGAAGGCAACCCTATAGCTAATAATTTATTATTCAGGATCCTTTTTTATTGTTTCAGCTCTTTGATGTCCTGTAATTCATTGTCTTCTTTGTGAAATACTTTTTTTTGTACCCTTTATTTAAACAAATCAATTCCCCTGCCCTTAACATTATCCTTTTGCCAAACACAAATGAAAGTTAAAAAGAATAAGTAGGTATTTTATTCACTTTCTTCTGTATTTCCTTCCTGCCTCATGTTTACACTTGAGAGCTCTCGAAGCATACTCTACTAAATCAAGCGTTTTTGGTCAGTATTTTACCTGCCTTATGCAAGAAATGTTTGGAGAATATATGTGAATATAGTCAGTCAGGAAAAATTCATACAGTACAAGTTTTTAAAATGAATACATTAATATAAACTAAATGAGTCATTAAATGAGTCGTCCAAACATTATTTAAAACATGTTAATTGTTAAAACATAAATTTTCTAAACCAGTTAAATTGTATGTACAAAATGAATTAATATTTTCTATTCATTTAATATTTAAAAAGGCAGCCTCTCTGTTTTAAGGTCCAAAACATATATGTAGTGAAGCAGAATATATAGGTTGTAATTTAATGCTGGTAACTACTTCCAGAAGCGTAACATCAAGGGTGTGTTTAACTGCTAAATGCGTCACTTGAGTCTATGCAAATTGCCTACATAGAAACACAACGGTCGTACATTGCCCTATTGCCTTAGTTTTTAGTGACCAGACTCTACTGTTAGGTTTATTTGCACTGCAACACCAGCCACCAAACCTCCCCATGACAGGTCAGTATTGCGCCTTTCTTGTGTGATCATGATATCAACAACCCTCCCCAGACCAGTGTCTTTCAGAGACATGGCTGCATAGTAGCATGGAAGTAAAAATGTAAAAAAAAAAAGAAAAAAGGTACTTAAAAATATGTATATTTTTTTTTATCCAGTTTCAAATTATAAAAAGACAGGGGGAATCCTGGGGTTACATTTGAAGGTGTTCTGTAATGTGACTGTAGCAGAAGAATTGTTATCACCATGAGTAAGTTACAAGAATAAAATTCTTGGCTGACATAAAACACAGAGAAAACTGTAGATTTTGTGTAAAATTGAAGCAGAAGTAAAATCTGTTGTGCCTGGTGGGCTCTTGCCATAATATGCAAGTATGCACAGTATACTTGCACATAATGGCACCCTTGCCTGACAAGTGTACTCTCCTCCAGTGCTGACTGATCCATCAGTGGCGCTTCATCCACCACCGCCATATCTTCCTCTGCTTCTTCCAGGTCCCTGTCTGGCCATTGGACTGCCTGATTGACAGCAGGCTCTGCCCGCCCCCTCCCAGTCAGGGCTGGAGGATCGGAGAGGGGGGCAACCCTGTGGAAAGCGGTGACTGACGGTCACCGCTCTCTGCAGAGAGATGATCGGGAAGTGAGCGATCAGCGGTATGTTTTCGCTCACTTTTCAATCAATAGAGCCTACGTGTGACAGTTTCAATGCCACACGTCAGCTCTAACTATGGGGATGAGTAATTCACTCACCCCATAGTTCTCCTTTTTTAAATGTTTCCCCTTAAACCACTTGAGTGTTGCTTTAGGAGTATGCTTTTTTTTTTTATAACCCAACCCTGATCTGTACTTCTCCACAAATTTGTCCCTGATCTGTTTGGAGAGCTCCTTGGTTTTCACGGTGCCGCTTACTTGGTGGTGCCCCTTGCTCAGTAGTGGTGCAAACTCTGGGGCCTTTCAGAACAGGCGTGTATATGTATGTATATATATATATATTGAGATCATGTGACACTTAGATTGCACACAGGTGGTCTTTAAATAATGATATGACTTCTGAAGGTAATTGGTTGCACCAGATCTTATGTAGGGGCTTCATAGCAACGGGGGTGAATACATATGCACACGCCACCATTTTGGACTATTTTGTGTATGTTTATTACAAGTAATCCACATAAAAATCCATTTTAATTCCAAGTTGTAATGCAACAAAATAGTAAAAATGCCAAGGGGGTGAATACTGATGCAAGCCACTGTACATCGTCCTCTGTACCCAGCTCTAGTCCCGGCACACTGCATATTCTGGGAAGGACCCAGAGTGTACACAAGAAAGAGAACCTGCTAGAACTCAGAACCAGTTGCTGTTTGGCAGAAGAGACTTGTGTGTCTATTCTGCCAAATCAACTCTAATTTGTAGCAGTTTTTTCATTTTTTAGGTTTACTTCTGCTTTAATTCCTGCATTGTGAGCCTACAATCGACATGTAGTACGTTGCTGCCACTGTTGAATTGCAATGGTGTTTGTATTGTGTTATGTCAACCACCAGCTCAAATAACTGCTGGTTGATTTGACATTTTAATCTTTATCTTTGATGCTTTGTTTACTCTTAATTGAACAGTTCTGTTTACTTTTAACATTTCATGTCAGAGGATTTTGTTAGTCCAGCTGATCTGAGCCAGCACCTAGTTTATAGTAGACATGTTCTCAGATGTTAACATAAAGCAATGTAAACAGTTTTATTAGGATATGTAAGTAAAGATAAGTAATAAACGATGAACTACTTATGTCTGCTGGATAAAATGCGACCCCGATCCCTTCAGTGTTGGCTGCCAGTTGTCAGTAGGTCTAAGTTTTTTGGTCACATGATCTCTGCTAAAGAGGAGGAAGTTCTCTGGTATTTCAGCTTTAGCAGAAGTTACCTGACCAGGTTCTTTTAGAACTTCCTCTTATTAGGCCTCTTTCAGACAGGCGCTCCAATCAGGTCCGCCCACCCAATCTTAGTCAGTGGGCAGCCAGATCTAAACGGACGTGCGTCTTTTCACGTCTGGTTACACCCATCTCCATCCAGGTCCGGAAAACCAAACAGAACAGAGTTCCGTTATGGAGGACCTGCTTGTGATGGATCAGGTGTAATTTGATGTAAAGGGACACATGTCCATTTATTGACTTCCCATAGAGCAAGATGGAGGAAAAAAAACTGGACGGACATGGATGTTACAATGGTGACATCTGATCTGTACTGCTCCGATCAGCAGGGAATTCATGCATGGATCCCATGCTGATCGGAGCTGACAGGTGCCCATGTGAAAAGTGCCATAGATATAACAGAGAAAAACATTGGTGAAGAACTTGGATTGTTAATGAAATGATCTAAAATTAACATATGTGTTTTTCTTTCCAGTCACATACAAGCTTGTGGTTTCTGCTGGGGCCAGTGTTGAAATCACCTTACCAAAAAACGAAGTTCAGCTGAATGCTTTTGTTGTTCCAGAGCCTCCTGAAGGTAATTTTGGTTTGTTTTTATATAAACATATATGTCCTATGTCCCTAAAAATAAATACCGTCCAGGCACATGGCTAAATACACTGTTCGTACATATATGTGAACTGTCTTAGATTTGTCAGACACCATGGCCAGGTAGGTGACCACACTATTATCCACTAAAGTTAAGCACTGCAGTCTGGTCATTGGCCTGTACCTGATCTGTTGACTAAAGTGGAACAGCATTGCCACAATAATGTGGCTTTAATACTGCTCACCTCACTATCTCCTGTCAAGTTCATGGTATTATGGTGCCCACAGAAATAAAGGAAAACTGTACTGAAAGAATAATACTATTGCTGACATCTCCTTCTGAAAATGCTAGTTACCTGGCTGCCTCGCTAATTGAATGTCTCTGGTGTGGAATGAGTAAGGTAATCGGGAACTCTGACTTCACTCTGGCTTGCTTATCTGCATTCTTGTCCTGAGGCATACTGATAATGAAGCCAGAGACAACTAGGCATCTGGTGTTTATAAGAGTAGGTCAGCACTGGCAGCTTTGATTCCTCTCACTACAGGTTTCCTATAGTAAACAAGTCACAAATGAAACATTGAGGCTGCCATTGCTGACTACTTCTGAAAATTCTGGATGCCTAGCTGCTGTGCTGACCCTCTTGCTTCAATACTTTTGTGTCACTGACCAAGAATAAATACTTACAGTAATACCTTGGTTTACAAGTAACTTGGTTTGAGAGCGTTTTGCAAGACAAGCAAACATTTCTGAAAAATGTTGCCTTGATATACAAGCAATGTCTTGCAATAAGAGCAAAATTTTGTAGAAAAGCACCACCCGAATAAGGCTGTAGCAGTGCGAGCGATGAGTCTGTTTAACGACAATGCATGTCACATTGGATAGATTCCTTGTTAAGGTTTCACGTAATGAAAAAGATTCCATTGAGTCAAGAGATAGCAGTGATTCCGTTAGTGATAGTGAAAGTTGCCCTACACAATAATCCTCCTCTCTCTTGTCCCCCTCACACCGGCCACAAAGGTACCGGTAATTGGTTTATTTTTCTTTATATTTTGTACAGTATTATATTACAGTACAGTATTGTAATCATTTTATATGAATATTTTTGGGGTGTGGAACGAATCATCTGAATTTCCATTTTTTCCTATGGGGAAATTCGCTTTGATATACAAGTGCTTTGGATTACAAGCATGCTGCCGGAACGAATTATGCTCGTAAACCAAGGTATTACTGTATATATGCTCTTATACGTTTCATTTCACAGTCTGATGGTGCTTAGAAATTATTGAAGCTTGTGAGTCAGCATAACAGCCAGGCAAGCTGAAACTAAGCAACAGTTGTAGGTCTACAGCGCTCCTCAACCCTGAAGTATAACTAAAGACAAAATTTTATTTTTACATTTGGATAGAGTGGTCAGGGGTTAGAACCACTGACAGGTTTTTTATTCATGTCTGTGTCCCATTGGGGAGTTTCACTCTCTCTATTTGTCTGGATTACCAATGTCACGGGGAATAAAAGTTAAGGTAAATCAAACATTTTCAGTAACCAGCAGAACAGGATACAGGGGAAATTTTCCAATGGGGACCTTTGTTCTCATGAGAACGGTCTTGCATTGGAAAAATATCCGCTCACTTTCTGTTGAGTCTGCAGGACAGGAAGTGAAAGGAAATCTCCCTGATGAGACACCGATGGAAAAAAACTGACAGCGGGTTCAACCCTCCCCTACTCTATCCAAAATTAAAAAAACAAAGGTTTGGCTGTATATATACGTTAACTGGTATCCTCTGCTTGCACCAAGTTGGGGGGAAGAACTGATTGCCTGGGGGTGACTGCTGTTGTTTTCCCATGAGATGAGCTGGCACCTGGAGTGTCTGCTGAGTACTTTTGTACCTTCTTCTTTGGCCTCAAAAGTGCATACTTAGTTAATACGTGTTCTGTCTAGATAACCAGAAATGTTCAAACCTATGTTAAGGAGTTTCTATTCCCAATCATTTAATTTGGTGTGGGTTGTGACATTCTAACGACCAATTTACACCTGATCGCAATGTGACACAGCACGTGTGGTTTTGTGCATTGAGGCGCATTGCAATGTGCTCCTTTTAGACAACCTATTCAAAATGAATGGGCAGAAATGTGCCTTAACGCAGGAAAATTTAGGGCATGCTGAGATTTTTTGCTGCACACTGCAACATACACTGTTCGTACAGGTGCCATTTGATGGCACATTGGCATGTTATTCATTTTGAATTGTGCCTGAATGTCTGACTGCTATCATATATACAGCATATCATATGGAATGGGACAGTGTGGAATACGGAGCATACAGCATGGCATACAGAGTAAGGTGGTGCAGAATGTGGAATGTACAGCATGCCATACAAAATGAGGCAGTGTAGAATGGGAACTGTACAGCATGGTGTGTGGAATATGGAATATACAGCATAGAATGCGGAGTAAGGTGGTACAGAATAGGGAATGAGCAGCATGGCACATGGAGAAAGGTCAATCAAAATAGAGAATGTATAAACTGGCATGCAGAATAGTATATGTGCAGCATGGCTTACAGAATGAGGCAGTGAGCAATAGGGGACATTTAGCATGGTATACAGAGTAAGGTTGTGTAGGAAATGTACAGCATAGCATAGGAAATAAGAAGGTGTAGGACAGGCAATGTATAACAGAGTGAGACAGTGCAGACTAAGTTCAAAATATTAATGTACTGGTAGATTTGTTTTATTACCTCAATAGGCGCAGACCACTGCCAAGCCACAGAAGAAGTTAGTAGAAGATAACTTCCTCTGCCGGCTCTGTTTACAAGTGACAGCAGCATTCAGATGAGCTCTTTTAGCACCCTGAAGTAGGGTCTGGATGGGGATGAGCAGCAAAAATAAACTGCAGAGGTGTTCACGTCTCCATATCACATGTGCCCTGACCCAGCCCCCCACAGTCTGGGCCATATAGCAGTTGCATGGGCTTTAGTTCCAACAGTGAGGGGTACGTTGCTTGGACCACATTTCAGTGCAATTTGTTCCTTAGGTCTTATTAAGTTATGGGATTTCTCTTAGTGGCTGATTTGATTGACAAATGCTTCATTTACTTTTTTATTTGAAAAAGAGAAATCAAGCTAAATGGTATGTTTTTATTGATTAATTAAACTGGTTTTGCAGGTATATTACCCTGAATAAATTGACCAGTAATATTCAGTACATCTTCTCAGCAGCATTACAAGGCACATTGTAATTGTTCTATCTACAACATGTAAAGTGACCTACTGAATTATTAAGAAGGGAATATACATTATTTTCTAGTGACATTTTATGTATTAAAGAAATCCTGTTTTCCGTTGCACTTGAAGGAAAAACGCTGTAATTCAGTTTTTATGTCATTTGCAAGCCAAACGCTGGTTATGGCTGTCTGTGGTAAATGTATATAACTAGAGGAAAGGAAATAGCATTACCCCTTGTAATTAGTCAGGTTCCAGCTGTCATTTTTCCAATGACCACATCTGATTGGTTAGTTGCTAAAAACTGAAAGTTCTTAACGAGTGGTAGGTAAACATAAGGTGACACTTTGGTGGGTTTAAGGGGTACTTTTGCATCCTACTGTATAGTAACTGATTTATGACTTCTGATTTTTAGCAACAAAAAAAATCACATGTAAAATGGATATCTTTAAGTATTTTAGATGTTTAAAAACATTTGGAACCTTTATAGACAAATTGGATAGTGGTAATAAATAAGGATGCGCCGATACCAAGTACCGCATTTGGTACAAGTACAGATACTTTTCGAGCTCCAAGACTACACTAGATTTTGTTTTTATAGATATATATAAGGGATGCACCGATACCATTTTTTGCAAGTACAAGTACTGATACTTGCCCAAGTACTCACCGGTACAAGTACTGATACATTTTTGTTTATTGTCATGTGACAGTTTTTCTAAAACAATACAGACTAATGATTTCAGGACAGTGGTGGAGCGCCAGAGCCAGGTCCCAGCTGCAACCCTGGTAGTTCTCATGACAATGCCAAGTATCGGCCCTGGTATCCCTAGAAATGAGTGCTTTGCATAAGTAAGCATCTCATTTGACTCTTTTACATTTTGTGGTGTTACAGCCTTGAATTTAATTGGGATTTTTATTATATAATGCACATAATCGGTACCACAAAACTTTATTAGCTTGGCATATCTGGATCCTGCAATTTGTGTCTGTTAATTCATGATTAAATTGCTCTAGTGTTATCAAATTGGATGGGGATTGTTGTGGAATAGCAATTCTCAACCCTTGTCACATATTGCCACTTGGATTGAGGTCTGTTCTTAGGATGGGCCATTTGAAGACATTTAGGTCTTAGGTTTTAATCCATTCCCTTGTAACAATGGCTGTGTTTTCGGGAACATTGTTCTGCTGGAAGGTGAACCTCCCCCCTAGTCTCAGATGTTTTGCAGACTGAACATGACTTTCCTCTTGAATTGTCCTGCATGTGGTTTCATCTATACTGCCATGAACCCTGACCAGTGTCACAGTTCGTGCTGGTATAAAAACATTACTATTACATGATGTTACCACCGTTGTGCCTCACCCTGGAAATGGGGTTCTCATTGTGATAAACTATGTTGACTTCAGAATTCAATTGTGTTCTGCCCCAGTCATTTTCTTGCCATGTTCCTAATGACTGTTCCATGATGCTAAGGGAATTCCTCTTTCTTATTTTCTGTGGTCGACCTCTGATTCGGCTGTCAAAATCTTTTGGCACGTTGCCATCATAAATGCAATAGTTGAGTGTGAAAACTGTCATAACGTAATGTTCAAGTTTCATCCAGCTGAGAGACAAAAACAGGATTTCTATAATGTATATAAATGGCTTACTAAAGGTGAAGATCCTTTGTCACACAGGAAGATGGGTGATTTATTTTTTAGTTTCGAAAAACAGTGTAAAAGCTATTAGTTGAAATACACCTAATTTAGTCACAAAGCCTTTAACAGTAATACACATGTAGAAGAATTAAAGTGTATCTAAAGCCAACATTTTGTTAGTTTTATATGTGTGTGGCGTTCAGACCCCTACTGGATTTCTGTATTGCTTTCTCTATCCCCATTAGGGAGACTCACTCTCTATTTGTCATAAAATGCTAAATTCAATCTCCTTTTACTTCATTTTGTATTTATAGGACATGAAGTAAAGGCAAATCTCCGCAATAGCTTCAGTTGGCAAAAAATAAGAAATACCTTAAAGGGCTTTTGAGCCTTTTTTTTTTTTTTTTTACTGTAGCCAAAATGTAAAAAAAATGCCTTTAGATGCACTTTAAAAAAGACCTTCAAGCAAAATGTTTATTAACCCTTGCAGTAGGGCTATCTCCACACTGCAAGAGTTAACTGCTCATTTTTGTCTAGGGAGGAGAATAAAGTTATACTCACCTGATATACTCACCAGATCCTCCAAACCAGCTTGCTCTTAGACCGGTCCTTGGAGCCTCTCTTCTTCTCCGCTGCAGCATAGGAGACAGGTAGGAGGGAGAGCTGTCACAGTCAGCTGGCTTGGAGGATCAGGTGGGTATAACTTTATTTTCCTCCCTAGAACAAAACGAGCAGTTAACTCTTGCAGTGCAGAGATAGCCCTACTGCAAGAGTTAATAAACATTTTGCCTGAAGGTCTTTTTTAAGTCAGAAGAACTTTTAGGCCCTCATCAAATCGGCATGTTTTAGCTGAGCTTAAACAGAAAAAATGGTGTGTCCTGCAAAACCATAAATGTTTTTCCTTCCTGTGCTTTATGGGTCAGTCATGATGATGCATTGATGGGGGTGTGTACGGATACAGCACTCCGACTTATGCCCAATAAATGTTTGTGTTCGTTATTAGTGGTGGGAAAAAAAAGCCTGTGAACCAATGCTATTTAATTACAGACCCTTAGTAATCAGGCATCTGTTATTTCTGCAATAAACTGTAGCAAATCAATCTGTTATTGTTCTAGGTTTTCGTGAATACATTTACATGGATGGTTAGTTTTTCAGTTTTTTTTCTTTTATGCCAGAAACATAAAAGAGTTATTGCGCTGACCATTGATCCATTGTAGCATGAGCTACCTGTGTACACACAATGCTATTCTTCTAATCCTGTGGAGTGTGGCAAACTTGAACAAGTACAGCTATTGTATTAAATTGGGGGCCACACTGCTTCTAGAACAAAGTCACTAAATACTGTACAGACACATCATTGCAGCTCTGTTGCATAAATATGTTTGTGCATTCTCCCAATATGGCATGAACACTGGAAAATATTATTTGAATTCACTCTTAAAACTGCTATTCATATATAGACTGGTATATTTTATGGATGGCTACACAATGATCTAGTCCAGGGCAACCTTGGCACTCCAGCTGCATTGAACCTAAAAATCTCATCGTGCCTCAAACAGCCACAGGCATGACTCCCAGATGCAAACTACTTGTAGTTTTACAACAGTTGGAGTGTGGAGGTTTCCTACCCCTTATTTAGTCCTTGAAAACGTTATGATGTGTCCGGTACTTCCACGTGCCTCCACCAAGTGAAAGGAACTTGACATATTCTGTAAGGTCTGTGTTGTCATTCAACATTTTGTATGTTAGGGGACAGTTGTAGTTTGCTGTTGGATTTGCACATTGTCAGCTTACACATCGCAAAGGAAGTGTATGAAAGTATTCCTTTGTCATATATTGTGATTTCATCCGATCCTGCTTTATAAGTAAATCAGGGTTTATTTTACTATATTATAATTTTTTTTATTTTGGGTTTCATATATTCAACAGTGCTTTACAATCTGGGGAGGTGCAAAAAATGTACTTTTAAGAATTAAGCTAATGTTACACAATTAAAACAAAAAAAAAAGAATAAAGGCCTCGCCCTTACAGTCTAAATACTTAATTTAAAACAATACCAAAACATTAGATTATATTATTTTGGCATGTATTAATATTATTTTCCATATATATAGGAAAAGTATATACCTATGATTGGAGGCTGATTACTCATCCTACAGATTACAGCGGAGAAATGGAAGGCAAGCATACACAGTCACTCAAGTTGTCAAAGGTGAGGACATATCTTAAAATGTAGCACTATATAATTGCAGATTAGACTTCTGTGCCTATCACTTCCAAATATTCTGTTAGGTAAATTATGGTGCATGGTTCTGTGAAGTGCCTTGGGTACTTTCTGCAAATTTTAAACAGCATATTCTTACATTAGAAGTTTTGGAATCTGTTCAAACACAGTCTGACATCTGTCAAATTGGGCACTGCCTATTCTTTCACAATACCCTGACCATCCTAGTCAATATCTGATACAACTTCTGCCAATCATCTGCCCAAAATGTGATTGAGATTTCCAAAGTGGGGATGCCTTTAATTTTACAAATACAGACTGATTTTACACTGGTATGTCTGTTCTTCGTTTTAAGTTTGTCTTCATATATCACAATCTGTGTACAGCCGTGTCTTCAAATCTGTGCCCATACATCACAGTTTGTGTTCATCATTGTCTGTCAGCCTTTGTCCATGACGGCTTGTATGTCTCTGTCTCTGGTCTAAATAGGGTTAGTGAATGCAATGTGTCTGCTCAGATGTTGATAACACTTTTTCTTGTTCACAAGCTCACAGCAGGCCTGTACGAGTTTAAAGTCATTGTGGATGGGGAAAATGCACACGGAGAGGGGTTTGTGAATGTTACCGTCAAGCCTAGTGAGTGTCAAGCTAACATTTCCTAATTTGCTACTGGTGAACGGATGTAATATATTCTTTTATATTTATGATGTTGTTATTCTTTACAGAGCCACGTGTAAATCAGCCGCCGGTAGCCATTGTGTCTCCTCGCTACCAAGAAATCTCACTGCCTACCACCTCTACTGTCATAGATGGAAGCCGTGAGTATAAACATAATAGTCATCCTTCTGTGCCTTTCTTTGTTAAGGCACTCTTCCGTGTGTTGAGATTTGTAAGCAGAATTTCATAGAAACCTCTTCATCTTTAGAGTAAGTGGATTCAGTGTGTTTCTGTGGATGCCGTGTTCAATTTCTCTTTGCTAGTAGTATGCCAATAAGTGATTAGTATCAGACCCTCTGTGCGGCTATATCCTGGGTTAATGGTTTTTCCTCTTTAATAAAATTATGTGTTTGTGATTAAAACTGTAAAACGCTGCTCTGTGCTTACTGCATGTGACAGAGCCAGACCACTGCTCCCAAACACACAGTGCATCCATCTGAGTTTTCAGCCCACTGCACATCAACAACGCTCATGATCCCTGAGCAGCATTGTTAAATGGAGCACTATGCAGGGGGCGAGTCAGACCGCTGGAGACCCAGACTGCTACGGTCTGTGTGGAGAGCTCAGCTGCAGGCAAAGGGCAGCTTATTACAGTTTTAATCAAACCCATTGTAAGAGATGTTTTTAAATGCCATATTCTTTACTTGTTATGCACCCTGAATTCATAAACAACTATTCAAGTGGGATATGGGTATTATGATTAACATAACATTCTGTTCTAACAGCAATTAATGAGCACAATTTGAAGATTGCATTCAGCACTGAAACATTTTGCTCTTCACAGTGGATGCCACAGTAATTTTATTATGTTGGTTCGCTAATGTTCAGGTTTTGCCTTAGAGATCAGAGAAACCAAAGTGGAATCTGTGTTGGGTACCTAACACATACTGTATATCTTAAATTAATAATACATTCTGCTTCTTTTCCTTATTGTCCCCAGAGAGCACAGATGATGAAAAAATAGTTAGCTACCACTGGGAGGAGCTAAAGGGTCCACTAAGGGAAGAGAAAATTACAGGAGACACTGAAATACTTAAACTCACTAACCTTGTTCCTGGAAATTATACTTTCAGGTAAGAATCCTGCACCAGAAGCCTCTGTTAATTCTTTTATATATAATTAGGGGGCCTTAGGATACTATCTGTGTATATATACATGACTGTGTAGAAGGCTTGTAAAATTGGTAGCTGTTATAGGAGGCAGACTGAAATGATGTTTTCTGTAGGCATTCTGAATATATTACTGGCATACTGAGTACCGGTATGGACTTCTAGTAATGCCTCCTGGTAAAAATATGCAGGATCTTGGAAAGAAGCAATCTACTTCTGATATTTACTTTTATGACCTTAATTCTTCAGGACTGACCAAACCTTCTAGCACCAAGCTGAAGAGGCCCAATACGTTTTCAATACACAAGGTCCATGTGATGCTTGAAAAGTCTATCTGTTTTCACTGTGATAATGGCATTTAACCATGAGCCTTTTTTAAATATGTTACTTGGATGTGTTTCCCATAAGGCATTGCTTGATGTCTCCAACTTCCCTGTTACACCTAGGTGTTTTGTCACTCAAAGGTAAGTGTGACAAAACGCTCAAGACAAGGAATCCCATTCACTTGTCTTCAGTGTGACAAGATGCTGAATCCTTTTCATTTCTATGGCCCCAGTTCAAACCTGAGTGTTTTGTTGTGCGTTTTGTTGCACAAAGTTTCCCATTGAAGCTTATGGGACCAAAAAGCTCTGTAATTTGCCAGAAAGTAGCTTATGTACTTTTTCCATTGACAGACATTTTTCTGCTTGTGACAAAACATTAAGGTGTATGGAAACCCCTGACGGTTTTTTTTTTTTTGCCGACTTTGTCCCATTGTGAAGGTTTCCCTTAATTTTCTGTTCCAGAGACACAGCAGGAAATAAGAGAAGATCTTTTCTCTTAGAAAGACACACTTTTCTACTTCCCCACTGGTAGATTTCCTTTCATGTGGCAAGTCAAACATTTTTCAATTCCCATAGTTTTTTATACTAGAGACAGTGGTCCCCATGACCAATAGACAGGTGTATCTTACCAAACAGAGTCACAAACAGCATTAAAAACCCAACGGTGGTTCTAACCATTCCCCACTCTATCCAAAGTTTTAAAAAATACTTTAATACTCCAGTAAAATCTTTGTAGTGCTTCACATGCTGACTAGAACTGCATGAAAAATTACATTGTGCTTTTACATTGTGTTGGTGAAATGTGTAACCCATCACCCATGCTACATATAAAGTTTGGAGAGCCCCTGGCCACACACAATCTGCTTTGTGATTTCTCTTGGCATCACCAAGAAAATAAGCCTGCAGTATACCTGGCTGCTGGTTATATGATGAAAGATATCAGCAATAACCCACCTCTAGCTACAGCAAATAGTTATGTGTGTCAGGTCTCACACAACTTGAAGCAGGACGTTGCCCTGAATTTAAAAACCTGTAAGCAGGAAGGATTTTTATTGCAGAAGAGACATACTTTTCTTCTATGTCTCTTCTGCAATAAAGGCTTCTTACATTCCTCCTCTCAAGATGCTTTAGAATGTACACTGAGCTGCACATGCTCAACTTAATGTACGTTCTTGGCACACCTCAGTGCTGCAATGAATGCACTCCCGTGTGCATAAGTCGGTGTTCTGTCGTCCCATAATGGCCAAACACCCCAAAACCTGGAAGCCAGGAAGAAGGTGTCATAGCCCAGTGAGAGAGCGTACTAGCGTTGTATCTCTGGACCAAAAGTGAGTGTGTAGGCAGAGTTTAGTTCAGCTTTGAGAGCATGAGGAATAAGATAGTGATCAGAGACAATGCAGACAAGACTATGTTGTTGACTACACTGTTGCACTAGCAACTATAATGTATTCTTCTATAAAGCTGAAATGGGCTATGATTTACACTTTGGGGTCTATTTATAAATGTTTTAACATTCACACGGCTTTCACCCAAGATTCATACATCTTTTTATTTAGATTCACTTGAAAATATGTGAAAGTTGCATGAATCTTGTTTGAACAAATGTATAAATACCGTATTTGCCGGCGTATAAGACGACCCCCGATTTTTGGGGGATGTTTTAAAGTTTCAAAACCCGTCTTATACGCCGGGTACATACAGAAGGATATGGTATACTGTATGTAGCCTAAGCTACATACAGTATACCGCGCTGAGCCAATCACGGCAGGCTTTGTATTAATGAATACAGGCTTTGTATTCATTAATACAAAGCCTGCCATGATTGGCTCAGCACGGTATACTGTATGTAGCCTAAGCTACATACAGTATACCGCGCTGAGCCAATCACGGCAGGCTTTGTATTAATGAATACAGGCTTTGTATTCATTAATACAAAGCCTGCCATGATTGGCTCAGCACGGTATACTGTATGTAGCCTAAGCTACATACAGTATACCATATCCTTCTGTATGTACCCCGACCCTGATTTTTGGGGGATGTTTTAAAGTTTCAAAACCCGTCTTATACGCCGGCAAATACGGTAGATCCTTACCGTTTATGGCACCAGGTTAAAAAAACTGCCAAGTAAAAATAGCAATTACCAAGAAGACTTTTCTCCATTCTTAGAGACATATCTATGACATATGCTAGCACTTTATAGTTAATCAAAATACAAATTTAGAACCATATTTCTATAGTATATATGCCAATACTTTTGACTTTAAAAAAAAAGGCCAACTAAGAAATTGTGGGGTGTTCATAAATATTTTTTTAGTAAAGTAGTTTTAATAACACATGTGCATGAATGTTTAAAAGAGAACTATAGGGAGAGTAAAATATATTCTTCCCGATGGTTTGAGCCTGGTGTGACACTGCAGGCTTCACATGCCGGATATGTAGCTCGAGAGATCACAAACCGCTGATCACTTAGCTCATGGCTTCTCCCTGAAGAGAGCAGGACTGTCAGTCCCCACTACCTGGAAGGATTCCCCCTCCCCCCTCTGTTCCTCGTGTGGTTATTGGAGGCACAGACAGGGCAGTGATTGGGCACACCTGGCTCTGGCTCTAGAGGGGCAGTGCGAGCTGTCAATCAGGCAGCGTGGTGGATCCCGACAATAGTTTTCGAGAGGTTTCCTGTCTGCAGCATGGCTCTGTGCTATCAGCATATAATGAGCATTGTTGACTTTGGGTCACTGGAGTACATTAGTAAATGTACTTCTGTTACCCAAACTAGAACTATAGCCAAAAAAAGAGGTTTGGCTATACTTCTCTTTTAAGAGGATAAACACCTTTCTGATGCTTTATTTTAACTAACATTACAGCTAACATGGAGCAATGAGCTATAGAGCAATGTTAATATTTAGACAGCAAAAAGTTGTCCTTTTTTTTTTCCTTAGGTTAACTGTTGAAGACTCTGATGGGGCCAGAAATTCTACTACTGCAAACCTTACTGTAAACAAAGCTGTTGATTACCCTCCTGTGGCAAATTGTGGAGCAAACCAAGTCATCACACTGCCCAAAAACTCTATTGTGCTGTATGGAAACTTAAGCACTGATGATCATGGTATTATCAGCTATGAATGGTCCTTGAGTCCCAGCAGCAAAGGAAAAGTAATGGAGATGCAGGTGAGGAACGTGTACACATACATATAGGCAGCTTTAAAATATAATGTTTAGCACCCAGATAAGCAAACAAATATGGATATGATAGCATTCACTCTTTAGTACTTTATGTGGTTACCTTTTGCCTTAGTAAAATGTCTCCCCATACTTTTCATTTTAATTGTTTTGGACCTCTTACATCCAGATGAAACAGGGCTGTTGTGTCCTGCTGTTGTCCCTTACTCGGGTATTCCTTTTTCTTGATGTAATTATTCCTGTAGACTGCAGTGGAATAAAGCAAAGTTATATTCCTAGTAAAGGATTATTAGTGTCCATTAATAGACCCCATCTGGGGGCTGTATAATCACGCTGTAGACTGATTCAGATTGGTGGGTTTGGATTAAATGTTTCCAAAAAGTTAGGTCATGGCAACCAGAGGATTTACATATCAGGGTGGGTCAAGCAGTAACAGCCCCCCCCTCCCCCCC